AAAGTGGACAAATTTTTGGACGAAATAGTTGGCCATTAAAAATGTTCACGATCTTTCAATTGTATCTTCATGACTTTTCTAGAAATCGAAATACAGAAATACCGATATATTTACCAGTAATTTGTTCGATTTCTCTATTTCATTACCTTAAATATCTAATTTTGACGAACTCAGTAAAGATATGGATGGAAAAAAACACGTTTCAAACACTTTAAATAATTCATGGAATTGTTTAGCCTATGGAAAATGTTTGAAACGCTTTTTTTCTTTAACCATGTCTTTCTATCCTCAACGCCTCATATGTATATGGTAAAATTCAAATCGAACATGGGGTTCATCAAATTTCAATAACAACTGTGAAAGAGCATGGGAATTTGTTCCAATACGGAAAGATTTCTCGAAATCGTATGACGACGACGATAATACGTCCACCTTCTCGAAATGTAAATAGCAGAATGAACAAATAAACGAAGGAAGCAGGCATGTACAGAGCGATTCTCCCGCCAGTGCACTCGAGAGTAATGCAGCCGCCTAAACACCGAGGCGATAATCCCGTGTATGTTTACAGTCGTGGCTCGATAAAAAGGTCTGCGTTTACTCGGTTTCTCTCTTGCAAATAGAGTCATCTCGTGTGCAGCAGTTGTCATCCTCGACCGATCGATGAAGCAACACTGATACGAGTCTCTAAACATACATGGGATTATGTTTCTTTCGAGTCCACTGGCTGAGGTATCGCTCTGCACATGGTGCCCCACGGTAAAACGCTTCTCACGATTTTTCAAGCAGATTCGTTACAAATTGCAATAGAAAAATTGTATTATTGCTCTTGTGTACCATGTACCAAGATAGAGAAATTTTTGATTAGAAATGGTAATTATCTTCAAGGGAGGCAATTAACTTAGGGAGACTAAAGTATCTCATGAATAGACTAGAAGCAGATCTTTATAAAGGATTGTCTTAATCCCTAAATATAATAATTGGTATCTTGCTTCAAGTATTTCTTATATTTTTGCATATTAAGTGCACTCTATAGCACTTAAACATTCACACTCTGCTGATGACAAGTGGAGATTAAAGACAGGAACTCTTTTTCTTCGTCGTGAATGATAAAATTCCGTGAGAAGCGTTACGTGGGTTCTGGTATAACGCGTGGAAATTAAGTTTCAGATGGGGATGTGGAATGTTGCTCACGACTAAATGACCAAAATGGTAAAAACACCATCGTCGAGTAAACTTCGCGAAGTTGCAACGCGGATCGACGCTGCTACGCTGAAAGAGCGCGTAACGCCGTTGCAGAAGTCGATAAACGTTCGAAAATAGCCGCCACGTAAACCGGAATAGACCGTGCGAGCATCGCGCGTTTAATTAGCCCTGGGATTGGTTCGTCTCACTCCTCCGCACAACCTCCGCAAAAACCTCCAGTCTTCGCTCCGCGATCCTATCGAGAAGAAAATCGAAACCGGTGGGCGTCAATCGAATGGCGCTGCTATCGATATCCCAACGATATATCGATTATATCGACCAAGTATCGATACCTAGCGATATATCGATTATATCGATTAGTTATCGATACCTAACGATATATCGAGGATATTGACTAGTTATCGATACCTAGCGATATATCGATTATATCGACCAAGTATCGATACCTAGCGATATATCGATTATATCGACCAGTTATCGATACCTAGCGATATATCGAGGATATCGATTAGTTATCGGTATCTAGCGATATATCGATTATATCGACCAGTTATCGATACCTAGCGATATATCGATTATATCGACTAGTTATCGATATCCAGCGATATATCGATTATATCGACCAGTTATCGATACCCAGCGATATATCGATTATATCGACCAGTTAACGATACCTAGCGATATATCGATTATATCGACCAGTTATCGATATCCAGCGATATATCGATGATATCGTTAAGATAAAGAAATAATGAAATTTGGAGAAATATTTTGTAAAATGCTGCAAACGTAAAATCTGTTTATCCTTGTTGGAAGACATCTTTGAGAGGATATTGAAATTGAATTTTTCTGGTCGATAGATAAAATTGTAACGTTTGGATATTATCGAACGGCTGAAAGTGAATGGCGACTAAGGTATTTATCGCCGAAATTAATCGAATTACTGGCACACGTCTACGGCGCGGAAGTCGAGAGTAGAACTAGATCTTTTCAAATAAACTTCATCCCACTCACGCGAGCGTTTGCTATTGTTCGGTGGTTGAATGACCAGTGCGAATAAAGGACGACGGGAACAAAGCGTTAGGAAAATAAATGGGATTTGGAATAGTTCGGAGCGACTGGCCGACGTTGAGGAGTGAATAACAAGTTGGGGAAACGTGACCGAGCGTTCTTCCCGTGAATTTCATCGAACGGCTAATAACAATGCGCGGTTTAAAGATCCTGGGACGATCCTGTGTCGATTAAAAGGCGAAGAAATCGGGTGAGAGAAACGAACAGAGACGAATGGTCGTTGTAGATAGGCTAAGAGAGAGAGAGAGAGAGAGAGAGAAGTAGTGAAGACGCGTTATGTGAAGACTAGTAACGTGATATCGAGACGAAAAATATAGAAAACATCGATTCGTGCATCGAGAGGATGCGAAGAAAATTGAAATGTCGCTGAGAGACGAGAAAAGACATTCGAGCTCGACACCGTGCGAAGTACACATATAATTTTCGGTAAAATTCCTTATTCGTTCGCATTCCTGTTGTAAACTGCCTATACAAGGTGTCCCGGTGTGATCGATCCAAATATCGTCGAGATTATCCGTAACTTTCGAAACATTTCTGAGGATATGGTATGCATTGCCGCCATTTATATTATATTTGATTTTTTCTTTATTTTATTACAACCTGGACTTGAAATTTAGGGCAGACGAATCGAAACTGGTGGAGGACTTGGCGAAAACACTCCTAGAAGCTTGAGTGTACCAAGAAGAACCACTCGTAATAACTGGAATGATCAAAGGGTGCCAAAAATGTGTTGAACGAAGGTTTCGATATGGCTGACAGAACATTTAGGGATCGAGTGTATCATTGTATTGAAACTAAAGGTCAGTTTCTCGAGTATCGAGCGTAAGAGCAACGTGCATTAATTGGTGAGAAGACCTTGAATGATCTCGAATCTGACTCACCGGGGCTAAAATACCAGATAAAAGAGTTCCTAATTAAATATTCGAGGGGCACAAAGCACCTGGCACCTAACAAGTTAGATATTCCAACAATTACGAGCTGGGATGTTTGGATAGCCATACGCGACCATGACCTGACCGTAATTAGAACCAGAGGCGGGCAAAATGTATTTCATCGTACTCGAATTAGAACGAAACGTATGCAGACACTCTTTATTTATTAAATAATCATTAAACCCGTCCAAATCTATCGACACGTGTACTACGAATAATTAAAAATTACCAAATTTGCAAGGATCCCAAAATTAAAAGAAATCACACGATTTGGTATTCAACGAAATATTGAAATACAGAATACAAATATATTTTAATTAGAAGATTTCCCCATTGCTGCACTTAACTGCACAGTAGATGCAAATTTCACTGACCGTCCAAAACAATTAAGAGCTTAACCTCGTTATATTGTTCGACCATCCTGCCATACTATCTCCTGATCCTTCGCATAAACCAACACAAGTCCCCATTGTTTTTCAAACACAGAAGGGCATAATGAAACCGTAAAAGAAGCGGTTGCTTGTGATATTAATCACCGTCGTGGCTTTAAGCGTTCGCGGTCGCTTCAAATTGCATCCATCATAGTGAACTCGTCGCTGTGAGTGTCTTATGCAACAATTCTCGCTTCCAAGTAACAGTTTTCACGTCGAATTCAATTGACCAAACATTCCTGGCGCTTATTTAGATTTATATTGCAGTTATTTATGGCGAAAACCGGTGGAATTTAAATTCTATAGGGTGGTTTCATCCCTTAAGCAAATTCAAGCATTCTAATTTAAATTTCGACTTCAAATTTTATAGCAAAGTTTACGTTTCGTTAATTCTTCCATACAAGACTACGATCAAAAGACTATTGATTATGCTACCAGAAATTTAGACTTAATTCATCTAGGAAAATAGATTTAATAAAATTCTACCATTTGATATAATGGTTCGTGAATACATGTAGGCATCAAAATTATAAAAACGACGGCAATTTAAAAATTTGTAAAACCCCAAATTCTCCAACCTTCCTCAGAAATAGTTTCTAATATTGTTAACAGTTTCAACGATATTTGCGTGGATCGATTAAAACGGAACACTATGGAAGACTATGGCCGCGATGATCATAACACGAGTACAGTAATTCTTCGTTCGGAGCTAGGATTTTTAAACTAGATTAAAGAGACTCGAATTAACCATTGTTTACGTCCCTCTAGTTTGTTCAATTTTTAGCGAATGATTCAACCTGAATCGAACTTTTTTTTTATTGTATTTGAGATCATTACTATTTCTACGACGAAAGTATTCATTCGGACTGTTTTTAATTATACGAGAACCCAAGAATATATAAAAAAATATAAAGAATTTTAGTCGTTGTGGGTGATTTTCGTTCATCGAGCGAGGAATTACTGTACCTAACCGGGCGTGACACGGCAAGTGAAACGGCAGAGGCGGCTATAAAATACGATTTCTATACTTGAATTTAGAATTTCCAATTAGAACGTTTCCAAACTTCTCGCCGACTATATCAAACAAACAATCCCGCGTTGTACGAAATAGTATTTTATTCGCCTCTGGACATGGTGGCATGCTCTATGTTGGTACACACTATAAATACATTTGTACACTCGTACCATGATCAAGAACAGACAGAGAGACAGACATATACATATGCGCGTGACGTTTGCATTTATATACATATAATGCACACACGGATGCACGTCTATCCATATTAGGTGTCTATTTAATTCGTATAGATTTAGATATGTATATAGATATATGCACAGCACATTGTTCTCTATTAGAGCTTACTAAATGCGTGATCGAACCGAGTACTCGTCCGAGAGTAACCTGCAACAGCGAAACAACACCCTGTCACTGTCCCCTAGGGTCAAGTACTTACGTCTAATATCTAGCTTTCTATTACATTTTATCGGACAGGGGGAGAAAAGGGAAGACACAGGTTAGCTAATTCACGGGGATCGTTCGTTTCGTCGACTTTCACGCCTCCTAGAGAAAACCATTAGAGAGCTAGAGAATACCATTAAAATTTTCATCAATTTCTAAAGCATTGCTTGTAAAATAATAACAAATGTTTCCAAAGATAATCGTGTACGTAGGCGGACGTAGCTCGACGGCTCCATAACTCAGTATTTCCAGGGTTAATTCTCGCTAATAAAATCAGAACATTTTAAACAATGAACACAATCACCTTTTCATTCGAAACGTAAACATTATCACGAGTAAATGCGATTAAACGCGACAACGAAACATTTCGCTTCCAATACCTCTGTTTATCGTGAACAGATACGTAAATAATAACCACTTTGTACCATGGGATGAAATGAATTATTTTCGAAATTGTTTGGATTCAAATTCCTGGATGTGTTTCGCGAATTTGTCAGATCGGAGAAACTATGGTAAACGATAGTAAAGAGAGAAACAGAAGAACGGAAGAGCTCGTAGCGAAATAAAATTTGTTTCAAGCGATACTTTGCGACAACTCGAGCTACTTCGTCATGCACAACGTTTTATGAGTATAGTAGATTTGCACGAGCTGTGAGAATCGTACAAACGCGTTTAATGGTTTCACGATGGCTCACGGAAGTATTCGAACGCTTGCAATTAGAATCACTATTGTTATAGTGTATGAATACAAGTGGTGACTGAGAACCCGGATTTTCTCGTATTTAGAATTATCGAAATCACCCGGAGTAAATAAGAGTTTGTGGAACGTGTACGAAAAAGCGGATTCTTTCGTGTTGGTACTTATCCAGTCGCGTGGCCGTGTATTGCGCCATCTTCTTGAAATAGAGTACGGGTCGATGTTTATTCCGACCGAATGCGGCGTGTACGGGTTAACGTTGACTCGAGAGTTGCGTTCTAGCGTGTAAGAAAAGGATCCAAGAAAGAGAAACGAAGAGAATGCAGAATCGATGCAAGTGAAAAGTAATAATAAACGCACAAGATGGACGCATTGACGTAGAGAGACTGTGGAACGAGAAATTAAAGAGGTAGAAAAATATAGTGTCGCCCCAGAAGGAGGATCGGTTGCTGACTTACTCGGGATATTTGACGTTTGGTAGAGCCTTCAGGAAGCATCGTTGGCGCAAGATGCCCTCCCACAATTGGACGCCGACGATACCGAATATGAAGAAGACGAAGAAGCACAGGAGCAGCACGTTGCCCAGCATCGGAAGCGTGTCGAGTAAAAGCATCACCAGTATCCTCATACCTGTTGAAAAGTAACAACCGCAAGGCTAGATAATTACCTCCAGAGATCTTACGTTTACTCAGCGTACCGCAATGCCGTCGCTTCCGCGTGGAATTAGATAAATAAAGAACTTTTCTATTTACGTCGCGAGGGGAAGAATAATGTCATACCGGCGTCGCAAACGGAAGTGGTGCTGGAATATTAATAGGAAAGAGTAAGAAAGGTGCAGGATAATATACGGAGTGATGAAAAGAGGGGTCCCGGTAACTTTAAAGCCGCGTTCGTATGCTCGGAGTGAAATAGGCGCTAAAATCTATTCTCTACGTGGTAAATTTACTTTTAATATTTATGGACGTTTAAATTCGTGAACGAGCCTCGTTGCGATACGCTGAATATAAAGAAAAATTTATTTCAAGTAGGTGTGTTAACTAAAGGTTATCGACATGGTAATTAATTATGTATAGAGGGTGTTGGGCCTGGGAAGTATTTTAATGGAAGATTCTAGAGGCCAAAATAAGACGAAAATTGAGAATACTAATTTGTTGATTGTGGTTTCGTTAAAAAGTTATTAACGTTTAAAGTTCCGCCCTTACTGAATTTTTTTTCTTGAAAATGCGTAGAATTTCGAGGATATGTCTAATGACCAAAAATAATTGTAATTGACCCTCGAAACCGAAAATAATTTTTCCAGAACGATTTGAAATTTTTGAATTTTGTCGAAAGTTTCACACCTTCTCGAATTTTTTTCTCGAAAGTAGGTAGGATTTGGGGGGTATGTCTAATGACTAAAAGTGATTGTAATTAACCTCTGCAACTAAAAATAATTTTTTTATAACGATTTGAAATTTTTGAATTTTGTCGAAAATTTCACTTATTCTCGAATTTTTTTCTCGAAAACGCGTAAGATTTCGGGGGTATATGTAATGACCAAAAATGTTTGTAATCGACCCCCAAAACTAAAAATAATTTTTCCAAAATGATTCGAAATTTTTTTTTTCGACGAAAAATATCACACATTCTGGAATTTTTTTCTCGAAAGTGGGTAGGATTTCGGAGGTATATGTATTCACCAAAAAGGGTTGTATTTGACCACAGAATCTAGAAATAATTTTTCCAAAACGATTCGAAATTTTTTTTTTCGACGAAAAATTTCACACTTTCTCGAATTTTTTTCTCGAAAGTGGGTAGGAATTCGGGGGTATATGTATTCACCAAAAAGGGTTGTATTTGACCACAGAATCTAGAAATAATTTTTCCAAAATGATTCGAAATTATTTTTTTCGACGAAAAATTTCACACTTTCTCGAATTTTTTTCTCAAAAATGGGTAGGAATTCATGGGTATATGTAATGACTAAAAATGTTTGTAATCGACCCCTGTAACTAAAAATAATTTTTCCAAATCGATTCGAAATTTTTTTTTTCGACGAAAAATTTCATACCTTCTCGAATTTTTTTCTCGAAAGTGCGTAGGATTTCGGGGGTATGTGTGTTCACAAAAAATGGTTGTATTTAGCCCCAGAATCTAGTAATAATTTTTTCAGAACGATTCGAAATTTTTTTTTTCGACGAAAAATTTGACCACTTCCTGAATTTTTTTCTCGAAAATGGATAGGATTTCGGGGGTATTCACCAAAAATGATTCTAATTAACCCCCGCAACCGAAAATAATTTTTCCAGAACGATTTGAAATTTTTTAATTTAATTTTTTAATAACTTAAATTGATATTCTTGATTTTCTTATTTTGACCTTTACAATCTCATTAAAAATCTTCCCAAAGGTGGCCAAACACCCTGTAGTCGCAGACATAGTACAAATCTTTAGTATTAATAAATGAATTACCGGTGTATTTAATCGAGTGTTGCTGACCGCAGGTTTTACTTATAAAATTTCATATTATGTATTATAATGCACCAAATAATAACCAATCAATATCGACTGATCAGCCAATATCTAATATCCTGTGTTTCCTATCTTTCATTATTAAATTTAGCAAATTAAAATTTAAAATTCACTGCTTATTCTTAAACGAGAAATCCCTGTACTGTTTACCTGTACACAGAAGAGGTTTACTAGAAGTTTTCCTTCAGGTTTTACCGACCATACTTCCTTCGAGACCAGCAAGAAGGCTGGCCAAACCTGGTGGATAAACCTTTAATAAACCTGGTCGTGTATTATGCTACTCAACGCTTTAATGGCCGCACGTTTCACACAAAGACTGTTTCCTAACTCCTAGCGATTTTCACAACAATTTTCCCTCTCTTTAAATCAAACATTTTATAAATATTCAAATTCCGCATAGTTTTATAATTAAGCAAACAAATAAATATCAAAAACAATACTGTATCTTCGTATATTCCCTCATCCTCGAAAACTTTCGTTGTAAACTATTCCTGCATTGATGGGGATTGAAGTTTCCGATTACCTTGTTTGAATTTAAGCCGACGAACTACCAACTTTCGAAGATAATTCGACGAACAGTTTGAAACAACTTTCTACACCGAAGTACGGCACACGAAGACGCCAGGAATGTTATTACAAGGAATTATAAACGTTGGGATACCGTAATGAGCACACGAGAATGCCAGGAATATTATTACAAGGAATAATAAACGTTGGGACACTGTAATGAGCGCACATTAAATTTGAACCACAACAAAACGTAATATCTTAAACGAACACTACAGTTTTATGCAAACTTATCCACATTCTAAAGCATTTGAAAAATTTAATTAATAACAATGCTCTGATTTCTTCGTAAAATTTGTTTCGCGAGTTATAAAACAGTTCGACGCACATCTGCCCCGATCTCCGGTAAAAAAAAAATTGTTAAAAGTTTTCCTGGTTTCATTGGTGCCTACCATGAACGATGAAACCAGCAGTATGAAATCGATTTGGCGAAGTGAATAGAGTGTTTGACTATCGAAGCTCGTTCAGGCGAACACGAATTCGCGTCCCGATTCCAACATTTTTATTCTGTTTTCCTCTTTTGCAGGCTTCGAGTACCTGTTAATCGTATCATTCGAACATGATATTTTCTAGGGTTGTTAAACAATCCCAGCACACTCGCTTCGAAGTCTCTTTGTTCGCAATTTGGAAATAAATAAAACACTTCGAATTTTAAAAAAGTCCGAATTTTTTACATTTTTCGTGTAGGCTTTGGGCTAAAACGCAACTTGTTTTGCATTGAAGAAGAAAAATGGGTCATACAGAACTTTCTTTTCAATGCTAGAATCGTAACAGTTTCGTGTGCTCCATTTTTGTCTAAACGTGCTTGTATATTGTTTTTTTTTTATACAGAAAGAAGCAACGTTGTCACGAGGAGCATAATTATGTCTAGGTGTTTGAAAAATACTATAAATTGACGGAGAAAATAGAAGATCTGACACTGAAGTGGATTTATCAGTGAACCTTGTTACAAATATAACTACGATCAGAACTTTTTGGTTATTTATTATGCCCTGGTTTAAAAGAGATGTTCCATTTCTTATATTCCCACCAGATGGCTATTTTGAAGAACGTTAGCTTGTTGCTAATGGCTCCACTTGAAATCTTTAAAGCCAGAGGCTTCAGAAACCGCGGTTACATCACGGACGAGGCTATAGAGTAGACTTTACAAGCAACGCCATTTTCTGTCACATAATTTTGGGGCTTTAAAGCGGGAATAACCCATCTCGATTGCCTCCGCGCGTGTACAAGATGTTAGGAATATTTATTATGGTCGTTACTGGGGCAAAAATGTCGCTGTAAAATTTAATTTTTCTATGATTGCAAAGTATTCGAGAAACCACTGGAAATATACAATATTAAACACAAACAGCAACCATATAAATTCAAACATTCGAATAAAATAATCGTATTATTTCTGGGGAAAATTTTATTAAGAAGTTTAACGATTATTTGGAGAAATGCAGCTGTGGATGATCACCAAGATCTTTAGCGACTCGACGCCATTTAACTGTTAATTAAGTATTCGAAAAACCACTGGAAATATACTATTATTAAACACAAACAGCAACCATATAAATTCAAACATTCGAATAAAATAATCGTATTTCGCGGGAAAATTTTATTAAGAAGTTTAACGATTATTTGGAGAAGAATGATCACCAAGATCTTTAGCGACTCGACGCCATTTAACTGTTTATTGCGGGGCCATATTAAGTCTCCTGTTTATTCCAACAAGCCACAAACTGTTAACGATCTCAAAACAAACAATCGTGTTATGGGCGAGATACAGTCCGATTGATGCGCCAGTCATCGAAAATTGAGTTTATTCGCTCCACTAAACGCAATCGTGATGGTCATTTTATAATGGCGAAATAAAACAACACGTATCAGAGATCATCTTCGTCTTGTTTAAAATAAATTGTCACGATCGTAGGACGACGAAAATAGGAGAGCAGAGCCTTTCGACGAAACGCGTTTGGAAAAAATTAGTGAAACGAATTTCCTTTACTGTTTGCCGATGGTATTCGAGCTTGAAGAGGCTTGCCAATCCATCTTATCTCGACTCAAAAATACGTCCAGCCTGTCGAGAATGCGATTACCAAGTGTCTTATCTCTTTGAAAATGATTTAATACTTTTTGGCGAAGTTCTATTCAATTTTTTACTTGCTCGAAATCTCTCCCAATCGGCGAAACTTGGTTCAGTAATTAATTGTGAATAGTTAGTTGTTTACATATAATTGTTATTGTTTTTGTACTCACTTGGAATTCTGTTGATGGCTCGTAGAGGCCTCAGGACTCTAATTGTTCTTATGGCTGACAGATTCATGTTCTCCACGTTCAAACAGTATTCCAAAGCACTGCAACGAGACAAAGGAAAATTTCTTTCGTCAACTCCGTCGACAGAGATCAATTTATTGCTATACATAATTAAAATTCGATTTAGGAAGTCACGCATAGTTCGAACACTGATCAGCAAAATGTGATTTACGTTTCTTCGTGACTTTTTAAGCATAATCAGTTAAACTGTATTACACAGGGTGTCCCAGGATTAAAGAGTGCACGGTTTATTAATAAAAAATCATCTCTGAACATTGCTGAAAACGTTAGACCGTTTCAAAATGCTTGACAATACAGTAGAACCTTGATCATTGCAATCTCCATCGTTGCACGAGAGCCCCGTTCGTTGCATTATGTCTACAAAATGGTCGCCAAGCAACAAGTAAGGTCGGAGACGCTGTGTGAGGCTACTTCTCATTGGTTGCCTCGATTATTGCAGGAATTTTCAGCTCCCAATCTTTCTGCAACAATCGAGGTTCTACTGTACAAGAATGGCATCGTTGGAAAATACAGTTTATTACTGAATTCCCGTTCCATTTAAAAAATAAATTCAAATTTTAAGAGGCGTCTTTGATGGTATACGATCATCGTAGACTTGTAGTGTCTAAATATTTCCGTACAATACGTGTAATTGACTCGATCTTGAAGATGACGGCCAATTTATGGGACTTTATTTCATGGAAAGCTCCTCAGGAATGTATCTCCGGCGGTTGCATAATCGACGGAATTAAACGGAACTTAAATATGACTTTATCGGTCGGCGTTCAGAAACGGAAAATTGCTTTAGAACGAGTGTGTTCCATTTGTTTCGCCGCGAATACGTGTCGCAACGTTTCAATTTGCTTTTAGCGAATCAACGTTTCCATAATATCCGTTTACTACTGGCGCATGGAGATATAGGATTTTACCTATTACGTAACATCTAACAGCAACGATCTACACACATTGCAACGGATCCACGCGCAATGATCGAAGACTATGCTCATATATTTATACACGTGGCTTCCGTATCGATGCAATCATTTCAAATTCCTTGCACTTCCTAAAATTTAACCGAGATTATCATTTGTAATTCTTCTAACACTGCTGTGCAACATTTAATCTTCGAATTACAGGTCGTAGGTTCGTAGATATTAAATTAATAACTGGGAAGGGATGTTAAAGGAAATGTGATGATCTTGGTGTTTTGGAATATCTAAAAAAGCTACTAGATTACCTAATTTCTAACAGCATTAATGATAGGGGCAAAGTGGAAAGTTTCTACGCGAAAATGTAAAGGACAATTGAAAAAAGACTATGTTCATATATTTATACACGTGGCTTCCGTATCGATGCAATCATTTCAAATTCGTTGCACTTCCTAAAATTTAACCGAGATTATCATTTGTAATTCTTCTAACACTGCTGTGCAACATTTAATCTTCGAATTACAGGTCGTAGGTTCGTAGATATTAAATTAATAACTGGGAAGGGATGTTAAAGGAAATGTGATGATCTTGGTGTTTTGGAATATCTAAAAAAGCTACTAGATTACCTAATTTCTAACAGCATTAATGATAGGGGCAAAGTGGAAAGTTTCTACGCGAAAATGTAAAGGACAATTGAAAAAAGACTATGTTCATATATTTATACACGTGGCTTCCGTATCGATGCAATCATTTCAAATTCCTTGCACTTCCTAAAATTTAACCGAGATTATCATTTGTAATTCTTCTAACACTGCTGTGCAACATTTAATCTTCGAATTACAGGTCGTAGGTTCGTAGATATTAAATTAATAACTGGGAAGGGATGTTAAAGGAAATGTGATGATCTTGGTGTTTTGGAATATCTAAAAAAGCTACTAGATTACCTAATTTCTAACAGCATTAATGATAGGGGCAAAGTGGAAAGTTTCTACGCGAAAATGTAAAGGACAATTGAAAAAAGACTATGTTCATATATTTATACACGTGGCTTCCGTATCGATGCAATCATTTCAAATTCCTTGCACTTCCTAAAATTTAACCGAGATTATCATTTGTAATTCTTCTAACACTGCTGTGCAACATTTAATCTTCGAATTACAGGTCGTAGGTTCGTAGATATTAAATTAATAACTGGGAAGGGATGTTAAAGGAAATGTGATGATCTTGGTGTTTTGGAATATCTAAAAAAGCTACTAGATTACCTAATTTCTAACAGCATTAATGATAGGGGCAAAGTGGAAAGTTTCTACGCGAAAATGTAAAGGACAATTGAAAAAAGACTATGTTCATATATTTATACACGTGGCTTCCGTATCGATGCAATCATTTCAAATTCGTTGCACTTCCTAAAATTTAACCGAGATTATCATTTGTAATTCTTCTAACACTGCTGTGCAACATTTAATCTTCGAATTACAGGTCGTAGGTTCGTAGATATTAAATTAATAACTGGGAAGGGATGTTAAAGGAAATGTGATGATCTTGGTGTTTTGGAATATCTAAAAAAGCTACTAAATTACCTAATTTTTAACAAAATAAATGATAGGGGCAAGGAATTTTGATATTCTGAAAAGCTCTTCAGCAATTTTAAAAGACAATTGAAAAAACTCACCCAGCCGCGACGATAAAAAAGTCCAGCCTGTTCCAGGAGTCCGCGAGATAGGTTCCTTTGCCGTATATCCCCATCGCGACCATTTTGATTGTCATTTCCAGAGAGAAGAAGGCGAAAATAATGTCATCGAACATCTGTAAGCAGAGAACGGACCGATTAGGCGAGAAGACGCTCGATCGTTATCGATGAAGGATACTCGACGCAACTTCCATTACTCGTCGACACCAGATGTTGGTTTCTCATGTTTGCCTCCGTTTTCTACGTTACGTGCAAATTCCAAAGCTAGATGCAAGGTAAACAGTGCAATTAATCAATCCCCCTCGTATAATTCGGCCTCGGGGCTGACGCGTCAATTTCCTGTGGATTCATTTATCCTTCCTCCGAAAGAAACCTAACTAATTGCAAGACGAACGCATCGCGATCATAAGCAACATTGTTTTCGAGTAAAAATAACGATAAATACAGTCACTTTTAATCTAACGTTAGTTCCAGACAGTCTGTACAAGTTTTTGTTACTGAAAACTTTGGAAGCCAGCAAAACCAACGGTAATCTATTTCTGCCAGTTCAGAAGAATTTAAACAGTTGCACTGTTCAACTTTGTAATTAGCTTTTTTAGAAAAGATGCTATTTGTTAAATATACTTTTAATACAATTAATTCCAAAACCAAGTGTAGCAAAAATCTAATCAAATTAAGGTCGTGCTTTTTAACATTCGTAGCAGTTTTGCTCGCAAAATTCGTGCACAATGTAAATGTATGTATATACCTACGTACTTGTAATATTTTACAACGATTCGTTACGCATTGATCGTCCACGCACGGCTGATACATCCCCAGTGTAATGCAGTTCAAGAGAATCACCATCATGCTCACCCTTTCGAACCACGTAATGCTGTGTTAAGGAAAATAATCTGACCGTATGCTGGCGCTAAATTTAAAGGCACAATTAAATATTATATTAACTCGTCGTGAATTAAATTAATTAATTTAAACTTTTATAATTCCTGCAATACTAAGATTAGTAATAATCGTGTCTTCGTGATACTATTCAAGAACGAAATTTCGTGAAATTCCTTTGAATTAATTACATTACTAAAAATTATACTTTCCTAATGAAATAATTTATAAATAACTTTTTCTCTTAAATGCCAGAAGAAAAGACTAAAAAGAAGATATAAGTAATCGATCGAAATTTCGTGAAATTCCTTTGAATTAATTATATTACTAAAAATGATATTTTCCTAATGAAATAATTTATAAATGACTTTTTCCTTTAAATGCCAGGAGAAAAGACTAAAAAGAAGATATAAGTAATCGATTGTGTTTACTTGTAATTTCGCAAGCCATAAGAAAATAATTGAGTAACGAGTAGTTTATGCACCGGTGGACTATAAAAAATGAACTATCCTGGTCTTTGTACCGAGTAAAATTTCTTTGTCATTGTGAATGGGATACCTAGTATAATGGCCTAATCTACTCGGCGCTCTACATACCCGAGACCATTCTATCGGCAACCTTACCGTACCAATTTAGCACGCGTAGTAGCATTTTCAGCATCGTGTCGTCACAAAACGATCGATCAATGAGACCAGACATAACTAATCTCACAGATCGATCACGGTTGCCAAGTGACTACTACCTAAACACTATCATCCTCGTCGCGTGACGTAACGTTCCTTCGATGATAGATAAATACTGGTACAATAATATTTCACCCACAATCAGACCTCTATCGATCCTTTTCACGAAAATGATCGTGCAAATTACGACGTCTCCGACCATAACACGCTTATACCCAACCTTTCTCTCTACTCGTTGATCACAAAATTTATTAACATTAGGTTAATCAACAACATTACAATCCTCGTAAAATATTTGTGAAATTTGAACAATTAATGATTCTATTTATTTAGAATACTTTTCCAAGAAAACAGAGTTGTCGTTTGTCTGTGGAAAACAGTAAGAAAAAGATTAATATCTCTTTGCATAATTTCTTTGCAAAATAATTTTAATAAATACGCCCACTATACCGGAACGTAACAACCGTGTTTTACGAGGGTCGATCCTATCTCTGTTCCGTGTTTGAATCGTATTTACGACTATTTACTTTCACCGTTAAATCTTCAACTCGACTTCGAGCCTCCATGGATCGGTAATTTATCTATCTGTCGGCCAGTCGATAAATCGTTTTAGGACATCGAACGCGTATCAATTCCCAGCGAGTTTCAACAATTTTCTGCGGGCTGGGCGGAGGTGTACGAGACCGTAACAATCACCTTTGTGTTGTACCATCAAGCAAACGCTTTGCGTGCATCGAGTATTCGATTTTAACCGGTTACCTTTCGATTCACGTAACTCTGACAATTTTTCATATTTCGAATCTAATCATTCTGGGAACGAATTTTCAACGTCCCCAATCCGCCCCAAAATTGTCTATTTTTCCTTCCATAAATCGACTATTTTGTTGTTGAAACAAGTTGGAAATGAATGTATCTGAATAATTTAAAAAATAAATGTACTATAATTTTTTAGAAAGATTAATTTTAAAGAAAGATATTTCTAAGTCGCTTAGGAGATTGGATCTTTCAATTTGCTCCCCAATCTGCCCACAAATTGTCCAGTTTTCTTTTCGCAAATCGACTACGTTATTTTGTTGGAAATGAATGTATCTGAATAATTTAAAAAATAAATGTACCATAATTTTTTAGAAAGATATTTCTATGTCGCTTAGGAGATTGGATCTTTAAATTTGCGCGATTGCTAGTAGTACACTTTGATATCAAGTCGGACGCTGATGGGGAAAGCAATAGAATTTCAAACGTAAACGTTTAATGGTCCACGCTATTGTTAAAACAGCAGATTCTCGCCTTTCACTTCCATGGCCATACATCAAACGAATTAGGCTCGACGTGTTATAGCAGAAGAAGCTATCCATTCTACTGGCCGGGAAATAAATCACAGCGGAATTTGGAGCGAAGCTAAATAATTCGTAGGCCGATAGTGGCTGCAATTTATGTTGGGTATTTTTCATCGAAAATCTGAATCGACCATCCCTTTCGAACATCGAAGGAAGCAGCTTGTTAAGGAAAGCTATTAAGGGGGGCAACCGAAACTTTCCATCATTTTTATAGACCGTTTTATTAATATCTTACGGAGTCATATAGTATTTTTAAGTCGAAAGAAATCCTTGTTTTTCAAACTGATCGTCGATGAATTTTCGAACTTTATTAGCATTCGTGCGAGGGAAAGTTCGCATAGAACGGGAGAAATAGATATTCGACTAAGTCTGGTGAGAATGCATAGTATGATAAGAGTTTCCATTCCAGTTTCATTAACGTTTCACAGGTCGATGGAACCGCGACGCCTCGTATTATCGAGCAGGGAAGATTCCCTTGTTATCGTTTCCATTTCATTGTTCCATCAATTTTTTATTTCATTTCTTCAACCTAACATGAACTATGCTATTTAAAATGTTGAAAGAAATGTTACGTTTCGTGGAATTTACTTAAAAAATACCTATTCTTCTATTTACACTAAATGCGAATCTTTAAAACATCATAACTTCTGAACGGATTGGACGATTTTAATGTTTAAAAAGTCGATCGACGCGTATTTTAGTGTAGAATATGTAGAAATCATTTTTGGTGAATATACATAATCTCGAAATCCTACCCCCTTTCGAGAAAAAAATTCGAGGTGTGTCAACAAAATTAAAAAATATCAAATCTTTCTGAAAAAATTATTTTTAGTTGCGATGGTCGATTACAATCATTTTTGGTCATTACACACACCTCCAAAATCCTATCCATTTTCGACAAAAAAATTCCTTACTGAAAATTTAATGTAAGGCTTCCCTAAAATTGCATGCTAATCTTTAAAACGTCATAACTTTTGAACGGATTGGACGATTTTAATGTTTAAAAAGTCAATCGACGCGTATTTTAGTGTAGAATATGTAGAAATTCTAAAAATATTCGAGAAGTTGTTCCTTGACCCCGCAAAATGAGAAAAACCCAATAAAAAATGGTCCAATCTTCAACACAGCTATAACTTCTACAATAGTGAAGATATTTCAATGAAACTTTTTTCAGAAGTAGAGCTCATTGGTACCTACAAAAAAGTATTAGACAACTTTTCTGTAGGGTGTCAAACAAAATTATTAAAAATGAGTAACGAATTTTTAAGAAAAATCGACAAGGGTGGGTGCCTAAAAACGTAGAATCGTCGAAACGATAACCAGATTTCAACGAAAAACGTGTTACAATTTGTTGAATAAAATATGGAAAAGGTTTGCTGGGTGCTCGATTATTGGCACGCGAGTTAACGTTGCTCATGGACCAAACATCGTTAACAAACGGGCAGCGTTTGAATGGTACTCGAGATTCGGGAGTGGAAATTCGACAGTGGATGTTCATCGATGGTGTAACAGGTTGCGATCCATCGTTTCACTAAATTTCTTTGTTTATAATTTTTGAAAATGCAATCCTCTAATCGTCAGAGTTCTGAATTTTGTCAGAATTTTTTGTTAGGCTCGTCAATTCTCCTCTCTTCGACAGTCAATGTTCATCGATGGTGAAACAGGTTGCGATTCATCGTTTCGCTAAATTTCTTTGTTTATAATTTTTGAAAATGCAATCCTCGAATCGTCAGAGTTCTGAATTTTGTCAGAATTTTTTGTTAGGCTCGTCAATTCTCCTCTCTTCGACAGTGGATGTTCATCGATGGTGTAACAGGTTGCGATCCATCGTTTCACTAAATTTCTTTGTTTATAATTTTTGAGAATGCAATCCTCGAATCGTCAGAGTTCCTAATTTTGTCTGAATTTTTTGTTAGGTTCGTCAATTGTCCTCTCTTTGAGCACTTGTAGATTCCCAAGGGTCACTATACTCGATTGCCAGACCGTGTAGAATGCAACCAATCACCCTTCGATACTAATCACTGGCGAGTGGGACACTGATCCATCGCTTTGGACTACGGTACTAAACCATGTGCAAACAGGTATACCTATGTAACCATCCGCGGAGTCGCAGATTACTCAAAACAGACATTATTGTCGGCTCGCGTGGACATGTGTACGCTAACGTCGCGACACGTCGCATAAATCATCGTTTTTTAAATCTCCGGTATTATTCTGTGTTTCCTGCTATTATTTCGATGTTTGTAATTATGATAATTCGTGGTATTAGAGGACTTTACCCCCCCGCATAGTGCTTCAAGTTCTAATTAATCCCTCGACCGCGGCTCTAATCGAGAACCATCACTTTTACGCGTTCACGCGACCAGATTGAGATCGAATCATCGAAACCCCAACAAACTCACATCAGTTTCATAAAACGGTAAATGTCGTGCAAAGAAATATTTATTGCTCGTATATACACGAGCGACGGTGTTTATTTTAGACTGCGCCTGCTTATGCATTTATAGGAAATTTTGATTCTCATTAGGTGTTCAAACAACCATCTACAAAGCTCCCCATTTCATTTCTATTAATGCTATTCTCGTCATCGAAATAAACCGGAATGTTTCCCTGATCGTTCGACACCAAGGAGTATAGAGCCCTAATTATCAGCCCTCTCGCCACTTTCCTGGTCGAATAAAACCGGAAGCGTGTAAGAAAGGTTGCGACGAAGAGATCACGAGAAAGCTGGCGCGTTATCTACATTCCACAAACATGCGGAGTGTGTCCGATCAATACGGCTGACTCGGCCAGGCTCTCTTCTCTGTAACCCTCAAATCTTGGGGTGTCTCGCGGGCTCGCTAATGCGAAAAAACAGCGTGCACCCCAACCGTGTTTCCACCTCGATCGCACCGCGTCTAGATCACGGCCAAATAAAAACACCGAGCAACTGTTGCTCCGGAACTCTCGCTCTCGCCTTTCTTTGCAAA